ATATATATATATGTATTATATGTATGTACACACTCCATATATACAAACATTGGATACCCAAACAGACTCTACAATTTGCAATGCACGCTAGCGTTTCAATTCCCAAGAACTGAGCCTTGTCACGTGCTGCGCCCTCGATCGTTGACTGGCAAAACACCGCCGTGATTACCTGGGCAGCGTGAACTTTGTCATGTGAACTGACCCCCAAGTACACAGCGCCAGGCGAAGGGCAGCCGCGGCAGCAGCAGCAGCAGCAGCCGCCCACGCAGACACACCAAGGAAGGAAAGGGCCCAACAGAAGCCCGAAGCCTCAACCAACCCCAACCAAGGGAAAAACCAAACAAAAAGCACCGGCCAGCCCGAAAGAGGCGCAGATGCAGCACCCGCACCCAAGAAGGCACGGCGCTCCACAAAGCCAGGAGGACAGGCACCAATGGCAAGCCGGACAAACTGGGCATAAACAACCAACAATCAATTGGAATGAACATGCAACCAAACCGTCATTTGCACCTGCACAAGCCAAGATTGAACAGCCACCATGTCAACCCGAGAGTTAGACACAACCCACCCAAAACGAGACGATAAGAACTCGCCAGGCTTGGGCGGTATTTCAACAGAACTGGGGCGACACGGGCAAGACCAAGCGATATGATCAACCGTGCCATGTTCCTCGCAACCAGGCCAAACTTTCAATGAACATCAACCCTTCCAATAAGCAAACATATGGTCATTCAAGACGGCTACAGGAAAGTTACAAACATCACAAAGACTGTCTAGAGATTGCCTCTGTCAGTCACTGCTCAGAAGGAGAACAAGGGCCGCTGACCCAGCTGGCATGCCACCAAAAAAAAACCCGGCAAGGCGCCGCTCCCTTAAGGAGAGGTACCGAGTGCTAAGCAGGCACCAGGAAAAAAAAAAAGGTGGGAGAAGCACAGAAGCTGGGAGCCAACCCCAGAGACAAAATAAAAGGGGATGCAGTGGTAAAGGAGATTGGCAACTTAAGGCGTCCTTAGGAGCAGCCGAAGCAGCCCCTCAAGGTGCACCCCAGCCTCAAAACAAAAAGCTATACAGTAACAAACCCAAAGGCCCAAAGCGCTCAGAACGAGGCTCAGAAGATGGTGTGCAGGACTGGTCAGGACTCGTCCGCCGGAGCGCGCAGCACCACGGCCGCAGCAGCCACCCCCGTATTCTCGCCAAGCTCCACTCGGCGACGAAGGGCTGCACGGGCGCGAAAGGTCCGAACAGTGCTGCACAATTCCTGAAGGAGTTGGCCATGCAGCTCCGAAGCATCTCCTCCAGCACGGGCTGCGACAGCTCTGGCGAGCTGCTGCAGGACCTGGCCGGTAGATGCATCGAAGGCACCGGTGGACTCAAAGACCATGGGCTGAAATCGAACCCCTTGCCCTTCGCACGCAGCAGCAGTCTGCAGATGCTGGGCCTTCACCCTGGCATAGGCTGCGGCCGCTGCACCACCTTGCTTGCCTGCCTCAAGCAAGCTCTCCCTTCGCTGTGGCGCCGTGATGGCGATGTCGAGTGCGGTGGGAGAGTCCCCAAAGAAAGGCAAGAAGATGTCAGCAGGCCGCCGGGCTGCAAGCCGGCTGTCTTCAGGCCGCTGCGGAAGCAAGACTTCGGGTTTTACCCGCTCAGGCTGCAAACCAGCCCGGTCTGCCCAGCGCAGCACAACCTCCCGGACGGCGTGGTGTCGACGAGTCCGCTCCCCACCGGCTGCGCAAACACCAGCATGAAGGGAGTAAGTGTCAAGAACAGAATCGCACCGAGGGCACCAAGTGTCCGAGGAAGCCTCTGCAACCCACAGTCTCAAGCGGAGCTCTGCCAAATGCAAGTCTCAGCCACGCGGTCAACACGACCCCCAAGCGCCGCGGGCGAAAAGCAAGCACCGGTGCTGATCGCCCGAGCCTCAGGGCCCGATGAGGCAAACTTCCTGGTAGCCTCCCAGTCAATCCGGTGAAAGTACCCATGCTCATCAAAAAAATCCAAATCAGCATCCCGACGCGACGAAGACATGTGACGTTGCAAGCACCAAACCCTCCAGGCATCCCTGACAATATGTTGACGGGCACCAGGCTTGCCCGCAACAGTCAAGTCAAGTGAATGACGAGTCATGTCATGCGTCCACTTCCAATCAGATGTCCGGGTCCACCCCCAGGACAACAACCAAGCATGCAACGCATGAGCAGGAGAGCCACTCCGAGTGGACCAAGTCAAAGCACGCCTGCTGCGCAAGCGAGACATGATACCAACCAACTGAGTGGCAAACAACACATCGAGATGCATGCTACCCCCAAACAGGGCAGCACGTAACCACACCGAAGCCGACCGAATGCGGCGACTGCCAACATGCACACAGCTCCACAACTGCACACACAAGGTCAGAGGAGGGGCACGCGCAATCCAACCGTAAGCAACTTTGGAAATGGCAAACTGACGGCACGCTCTCATGTGTCTTTCAAACTGATCACCTGGGCAGCGTTTCGAAAAAATCCGTTGACCGCTGCCCTGCCTTGGATATCTTGGATGGTCTGAAGGTCCATGCAGATTTGCCAGCAAACACCGTTTCTATCGAAACAAGCTGTGGTCCGAAGCACGCGGCAGGACGTTGTCAGCATCAAAAAACTGAAGTCATTGGCATCATTTTCCGCTAAGAGGATGGTATATAAGTAAAGACTGTATAACTATTGTACTGTATATATATATATATACTGTATTTAAATATATGTATATATAATTATATACAGATGGCATCTCACATGACTGTGAAAACACATGTGGATCCAAAAATCCCATCGTTCAAAGCTCGTTGCCCAATGCCAAAACTTGGGGGACCCTTGATGCTGAGGTGGAGGCATTTAGAACTGCGAACAAAGTGAAAACCTTTGTGGCGAAGATTTCCGGCCGGCCAGTTTGGGGGGTTGGAAATGGCTGGAAATGAACCCAACCATGGAGGGTCTTTTGGTGCTGAAAGGAAATGCTAACAGCTTTTGTGTTGAAACAAGGCTTGATACACTTGATCCATCATGATTCTGTCCAGTTCTGTTTGGAGGCACTGAATTTGGGTAGCAGTCTGAGTAAGTAACAGTCCGCATGGTGGGTGATAACCACAAAGCTCACTTGGGTCTCCAATCCCTTGAAGGATTCCGATTTTTGGATTATGATAATCCCCAATAATGATAGTGGGTAGTGTAATCCCAAAAAATCATCAAATCATCAATGATAATGGCTAGTATAACCATGTAATCATCAATGATAATGGGTAGTATAACCCATAAAATCATCAAATCGTCAATGATAATGGGTAGTACAACCATGTATAACCCATAAAATCATCAAATCATCAACCACCATGGGTTTTGAACATTGCTCAAGTGGGTTAAATGCAGCACATGTTTCCAGGTGGAGCTTCAAAGGAAAAATGCTCTTTGTTCAACCGGGAAAACACATTCTTTGAGTGATTCCCACCCGGACACACTATTCTGACATCGTTTCCGACATACCATCTGGAAGTGTATATTTGGCATATCTATGCATATCTCAGATTCTCTCTGACGCTCTTTCTGGCATATACTCTGACATTCTATCTGACGTTCTATCTGGCCTTCTCTCTGGCATGAGTTCGAGTCCAGGCGCCCTCCACTGCATCCTGCGCTCGCAATATCGAGTTCGGGTTCGTGCGTGCTCCACAGCATCCGGAGCTGGAGCAGAGACGAGGTGGAGATGAGGACAAGGAGGAGGAGTAGGGGGAAGAAGAAGAAGAAGAAAAAGAAGAAGAAAAGAAGAAGGAGGAGTTGCACCTTTGTTAAAATCTATAGACCCTCAGCTGATGGGGAAAAACACGACCACCAATTTGAGGTCACTTAACTCCAAAAGGGTGACTTTGGGGAACCAGTGTTCAGTTCTTAGTTGCTTCAACCGCACATGCTGGTCACTTGAGACGATCTGACCAGTATCAAACATGGCTAGCCGGGAAATACCCAAACTAAATGGAGATTCTATAATGGGAAACACATCTATAAATAATAAATATGCTATCTTCCATTGCAGTGTTTGATTACCGGATGGTATACTTCAGATATCCAACGTTTTGCTTGGCACATCAGCAACATACGATTCCCTGGCATGCCCAAGGAAGTTTCACCATAGTAATCCATTTAGGAAATCAAGTCAGTGCGAATTTTCGCAGTGGCCAATCTTGTTGCGCCAATCACGGCCAAGCAGCAACATACAGCGAAAACACATAGCCTCAGCATACAACGGGCCGTGCTGGTTGTAAAGACGGAAATCTCAAAAATGATGGGAATTCCTGGCCCCAGTTTGAAGTTGGTTTAAAAACAACTATTCTTGTTCAACTTACTGGTGCTTAGTAGGGAATGGATGGGAATGGGGGAATGGGATGATTATTACTAGCGATTCTGCAATGTGGGGCCCCCCAGTTATAAGTTGGTTTATAAGCCCCAGTAACTATAGTTATAAGTACCATGAACCATAGTTATTGGAGTTATACACCAACTTAGCTATCTAGGGGGCCACTTTGTGGATCATTCCCTCATTCCCTGCTAAGCACCAGTAAGTCAACTGTACATGCAAAATAATCCCTTGTTATAATTTGTGGTGGACCTACAGAATAATCCCTTTTTTTGGAGCCCGGCGACATCGATCATCCCACTTTGAAACTAGATCTATTGATGGTCCAACAAAAGTGGGACAATCATGGATAATCTACATACGACTCATCATATGTAAAAAAAAACATCTGTTACATCTGAAGATCTCATCATTTCAGAAAGATACCTACTCCCCACAAGCCCTCACCTTTCAGGCAACCCTAGCAGATAAGCAACCCAAGGTTATCATCAGGCAAAGCCACCTTACAGTTATCTCAGAGGGACAAGTTCCGCCCTTCAGCGGATATCTTGAAGGGAAAATTTACAATCCCAGATTTTTCATGGGAAAATCGATGGCTCCCGGTGTCGATTTTCCCCCGTTTAAAACCACGAACCATTGAACCCGAGCTCCCCATCCTCCCGCGCGGGCTGCGCCGCGGGCTGCGCCCAGGGACCCCAAAGCCATCCGACCTGGATCAATGGTCGGACCACCACATCCCAGCTGAGACCATTGGCGATTGAGCGAAACAAGGTGTGCATCGCCTGACGGCGATTGCCGGGCAATTCGCCGACGATTTTCGTCCAAAAAAAGAAGTTGGATTTGACCCAGAACCCGCCAGAACCCAAGAACGAGAGGGAATTTGACATGTGATGTATGCATATGTATGCTTTAAGTCTCTGTAAATCTAGATACAATTTAAGGCTAACTTGCTAGGATTTCTGGTGGACATATTCAACTAGTTGAACGAACAAAGATAACTTGGGGGTCCATTCCTGTAGAAGTTACGGACTTCCATTCATGCTGCAGCGAAGATAGACACCCAACGGCAAATCAATGTTTAGGTTGTTCTCTATCCATAAAGCAAGACACATGCATCTACCCAACCATGATTTAAATATATATATATATACATGCTTTAAACATGTATATGACAAAATTTATACACATCGGAAGTTCAAAGATAAAATTCGGGTTCCAAGATGTTTCACCGCAACGTGTTCGGCGCAAAAACGTCTGGAATTTGACAGCCACCAACGGCAAGGCAAACAGATATAGTCACAAAGATCAGTTGATCTTGACCCAGGCATAGTTCGAAAACTGTACTGGGGAAGCAAGAGCTCATGACGCTCATGGATATCATAAGATCTCTTCAACACATGTGATACAACTGAGTAGAATTGAATCAGATACACCTATCTAGTGATTTAGCTGATCTGATGCAGAAATGTAACCCTTTGCGAGGAGCAACGAGGCACTTTTGTGTGTGGCACATGATATTCACATATATATTCCATACCGACTGTCAAAAGACAAACTTACTGATGCATCTTATGAGTGCTTGGGCCCACAGTTGTCCATTGCTGGTTGGTGACTATGTCAGCAATGCCAGGCTAGTTTTGGGCAGCTTGAATCATCATACCAGATAGGGGGAAAAGAAAAAACTATAACAACATACAATTACGGAGTGTTCACTTTCTTGAAATCTGGGATATATGTATATATATATATATATATATACGGCAAATGCCTGGGCTTTGCCCGGACCCGCAATGACGACAAGCGACGCATCATCATCATCATCATCATCATCATCATCATCATCATCATCATCATCATCACCACCATCAGAATTAAACCCTTATTGAAGATCTTCAATGAATGTAGAAGTTTAACGGGGGTGGGAGAATTAAACCCTTATTGAAGATCTTCAATGAATGTAAAGTTTAACGGGGGTGGAAGTTTAATATTACCTAGTACTAGTACCTTTGTTGATATTCCCAATTGAATGTAAAGTTTAACGGTGGTGAGAGTTTAATATTCCCTAGTACCTTTGTTGATCTTCCCAATTGAATGTAAAGTTTAACGGGGGTGGGATTTTAATATTCCCTAGTACCATTGTTGTTTTTCCCATAGGAATTTAAGGTTTAGGGTGGGAGTTTAATATTCCCTAGTACCTTTGTTGATCTTCCCAATTGAATGTAAAGTTTAACGGGGGTGGGAGTTTAATATTCCCTCGTACCTTTGTTGTTTTTCCCATAGGAATGTAAGGTTTAACGGGGAAGGGAGTTTAATATTCCCTAGTACCTTTGTTGTTTTTCCCATAGGAATTTTGTGAAGTTGCATCAACATTTGTTTGGGAATGGGAAACCTCTACGCTGCAATGCCTGGGCAAAGCCCAGGCGTTGCGCGTATATATATATAATATATAATAAATATATAATATATATATAATAAATATACATATTGTATATTATATATTTATATATAAAATATTATGTATATAAATATATAATATACAATATGTATATATATATATAATATAATATAATATAATAATATATATATAATATAATATAATATAATATAATATAATATATATAATATAATATAATATAATATAATACAATATAATAAAATATATATAATATAGTATAATATGATATAATATAATATAGTATAATATACTATAATACAATATAATATAATATAGTATAATATAATAATATAGTATATAATATAATAAAATTTAATATAATATAATATAGTATAATAAAATAAAATAAAATATAATATATATACACAGTATATATACAATATAAACTGTTAGGTATAGTCCAGATTCAAATGCTCAGATACTGTAGAGGTTCCCATATTCCGACATGCAGGTTTCTGTTGTCTCTTTCAACTTAACTACACAGCCGCGAAATAAGCATAGGCATTCGGTCCGATTGCAAATCCCCTTGGGAAAATTCCAGACCAAAAAATGCTCCACCAGACGACTCTTGCCGCCAAGCAACGCTATGCACGGAGCCGAAGTACAGACGAAGCTGTTCTTTTGTCCAGGTTTCTACTTCTCCTGCAGGGGTCTTGTCCCGCCTCTTTTCTGCATCTTTTTGCCAGCACCGTTATTTCAGGATGCAGATTCCGCGGACAAAACTGGAAACTCCAAGGTTCTGACTACGACAATGGACAGTTGGATGATCCGAACTCCAGGCTACAGCAACCCACACTGAAAAAAAGGTCCCGGATTTGATCAATCTTCCGGGTATTCCATGGTATTCCCCTAAATTCTTGGGAGGTACCAACCCATCTGCCTGATGCTTCGCTGGTGATGTAGTCCGTAACTCCATCAGTGATGAGAATTCCTCATCGCTCATCCACGGTGCGACGGTGCGGAGTGAGATTCTCCACAGCCCAAGACATGGGAATAGGAATAAGCTGCGATGATGAGTATGATTTTCCAGCAAGCCATCTTTGCTAGGAGGAGGTGAGATTTTTTTGATGTCACTAAGTAAATCTGACTGTGAAGGGCAGGTGTTTTTTGATCGCCATGTGGATGGTTGCCCATCCAGGGATTGCTATGATTGCTAGAGGAATCCAAATCACAGGTTGACGTTTGACATTCAACATTACCCTCTGGTAAACTACCATAACTATGGAAAATCACCATTTTGTATGGGAAAATCAACTATAAATGGCCATTTTCAATAGCTATGTTAAATTACCACACTAGTATACTTCGTCTGTTGACCATTTCAGGAGGGTTCGCCACAAAAACCAGGTGAATTTCTACATCTACTGTCTATAGCTTCATGCCTTCAGAATATCTGGTAACGTTACGTCTAACGCTACAGTACAATCTTACACTGTGAGGCCCCCAAACGATAGCTAAATTGGTTTATAACTTCAATAACTATGGTTTATGGTACTTATAACTATAGTTCCTGGGGCTTATAAACCAACTTATAACTGGGGGGGCCCACATTGTAGGAATCCTGGTCATCATTGACAATATGTGCCAAGATGACTCACTAAAATGTTACGGTGATTCCAAGCATCGTGAGTAGAGAACAAATCCGATGCTTGGTTCGAGGTTGTTTACTGGACACCCCATATTTGATGGAGGAATCATGTTATAATATAATTCTATGACATGTTTATAAGACTATGTTTAGGTTTGTTGTTTAATATATATATATATACATACACATAAGATTAGATTAGATTAGTTTATATGACTGTGTATATATATATATATAGCTGTATATATATATGATTATATGATTATATTACATGAATGGACCCCTTCAACCATTCATAATGACTTGGACGGACTCTACGGACTCTGGGCTCCCAGGATCATCTGACAGGCTCCCAGCATAGTGCTGAGTCAACATGATCAAACATCAACGATGTTCTTATGTTAATAACGTTTCTTTTGTTTAACAACTACCTCAACTATGGTAGTTTTTTTGTTCTACATCATTACTAGTCCTTACCGCAACCATCAACTATAGATAGTCTACTGACAGTTAGTATCAACCGAAGAAATCACACTCATCGTAGATACCGAAGAACCACACATCGGGAATGGATGGGCAACCATCCACATGGCGATCAAAAAACACCTGCCCTTCCCAGTCAGATTTACTTCGTGACATCAAAACAATCTCACCCCCTCCTAGCAAAGATGGTTTTCTGATGTCACTAAGTAAATTGGGATTTTCTCTGCCCTTCCAGCAAAAAAATACCATCTCCCCTTACTTTAGTGCGAAAATGCCCCTTTTAGCTCGATGATTTTCGCACTCAAATAGCCTAGCACAGCGATGATTTTCGCTCCATTTTTCGTTCGGGGATTCCCAGCCATGTGAATGATGACGTCAGTTTTTTTTTTAATATTCATTATCAGGGACAGGTAAACTAACATAGCTATTGAAATATACCACATATATATATATATAGTTGTTAATAGTGAACAATGTATGTTAATATCTGGTTGGTGGTTGGTTTCAACCCCTCTGAAAAATGATGGAGTGAAAGTCAGTTGGGATGATAACAAAACCCAACTGAATGGAAAGTCATAATTTCATGTTCCAAACCACCAACGAGATCATTATATTATAATCACCATTAAATCACCATTAAATGGCTAGATTCCGAACATGTAGATGATGATCACCAACAGCATCACCGACCTGCCGAAGCCAGCACTTCGAGGCCCTTCGAAAACATCAGCAAGGAACATCAATCTGGCTGAACTAACATACCTCTTGAAAATGGCCATAGAAATAGTGAATTTTCCAATCAAAAATGGTGATTTTCCATCGTTTTTTGTATGTTTACGAGAGGGCATATATATATATATATATATATATGCACTCACAACTTAAGGTATGTATGCTATGTATTGCTACGTTGATGTGATGTTTTTTTGGATTTCCATGGTATGTTCTTGTGTTATCTAGCGCAGTTTTCTTAATGTATGCCTTTATGCCATGTACATAGCCACAGAAGTTGGCAAGTTGTTGACGTGTCATATCTATTCCACTGGCTGTTCGCATCCATCATCCATCGTTTTAGGGCCAATGGAAGCCAGGATCAAACGTGCAGCTATGGGGTCCTCAACGTGGATCAAACTGAAAGTGCACATGTGTCAACCTGGAAACAGCGAAGATTCAAGGCCCACCTGGGTCACCTGAGTGATGGAGGTTTCTGGCTGTATATATCTGTACTCATTCGTCTATCTTTGTATCTATGTATCTATGTATCCATGTATCCATGTATCCATGTATCTGTGTATCCATGTATCTATGTATGTATGCATGTACATATGTATGCATCTATCTATCTATCTATCCATCTATCTATCTGTCTATCGATCGATCGGACCTAATCTAGTCTCATAATCCCATACAATCTAGTCTTATCTGATCTGATCTGTTCCAACCTATCTGAACAGCAATAAAGAAATATAGTAGTTAAATAATGCAAATAATGTTGGATCCCGATTAGTGTCATGGGACTCTATTGTGAGACAATTCCCAAAAATGATTGAGTATCTAAAAAAAAAACTACACTAATCAGTATCCAGCATGAATCTATCATCCACTCTAGCCATCCAATCCCTATCCAATCTGTCTGATGCACGTCATCCTTTCGGCCAAAGGACCATCCAAGGGAGCGCATAGTCATTGCCTGAACAAGAGCCGAGGTGAGCCCAAGGAAGGGTCAAACCATGTAGTGAGAAAAAAACAACAAACGATTCCTGGCCATGGATTTTTATGTTTGAACTAGATTCTATGGTTGTTTATTGTTCAAGTAGATTATGATTGTAATTACCATGATTTCAGATATTGCACATGGTAGCTTTTATATTTGAAGTAAGCCGTGCGAATGGAATGATTCTCCAAACACCTCAAATCATTCATTTTGGGGTCAGTAAGGTCGCTATCAGATTTCATTTATACAGGCCAAGGAACCTACACACCACAAGTGATCTCCCACAGCGTGACATGGTGACCCCATGCCTCTGTGCCATCATATTCGATAATTAGCCTCATTATATCACAATAGTATCATCTCCATTCTGAAGCGGTAGCTAGATTTTGCTAACCGAAAAATTGGATACCCCAAAATCCCAAAGGTCATCATCCTACTTCCCAATGCCATTGCCATCAAATGGGGGGGAATAAACCATTTCCTGACACAGCAGCATAGATTGGTGGATTACCTATCCCATCAATATCCACAGAATAGATCAGAATATCCCATAACCTGGATTTGCTTAAGTAATCCCCCCCCAACAAGAAACCACCTATTCTCATTGGTGGATTTCATCAGCAAATCCAGGGAATTTTCCCGCAAATCCCGTTGTTGAGTAACTGACATAATACACACGACCCGGCCTGGTAAACATACAAAAAACTATTGAAAATGGCCATTTAAATTAAATAGTGAGGTTTCCCATTAAAAATGGTGACGTTCCATCATTTTTTGTATGTTTACCAGAGGGTATATTATACATATCCCATTATATAACTCCCAGAATGTCAGTAAAGCAATAATAAACCACCCATATTTTGATGGTGTATACCACCCATTTATCCCCGGATTGGGCATGGTTTACTCTTGCTTTACTAACATAAATCAAACGAAATATATGTTACCAATATCAATATCCCATGAAATACCATATATATATATATATTAAATCCAATAGAATCCCATAAAATCAAATTATATAGCATGAAAACATCAACAACCATATATAAGAGGATTCCGGGAACCCACCGTCAAATTAAATACCATTAACATCCATTAATATCCCAGTATTACCATTAACAATAACTCATGGTAACAAATGGTACGAACAATACCATTATTATTTGTATAGTAGTTATTTATCACACACCATGTGGTTATTATGATATACCGGTATACCACTAGCATTGATATTATTGTATTTAAATACCATTAATGTGGGTAACACAATAATAAACCACCCATATGTTGATGGTTTATACTTTATACCACGTATAAAAATGGTGATTTGGGGGATGGTTCATGGCATTGTCTTACCCACATTCTTCCACATTGTATGTTAAATGCCATTAATACCCCATTAATAATCCATTAAACATCCATTTGCTAATATCCCATACCACTTTCTCCACATCAGAACCGTCCAAAGCAGGTTGCGATGGAGCTCACGAGGTTCCGCAGCGAGCGCACGAAGCGCAGCAGGCGCATGATGCGCAGGATACGCAGCAGCCGGGTGACGCGGATGATGCGTATGACCTGGCCGCTGAAGGCCACGTTTCATGGGAGACATGGTCTGCTCATGGAATTTTAATGAATGGAATCTATTTAATGAATATCAATTCAATCTTTAATGGTATCATATATCAATCAATTTTAATTTTCCATTAATGATATTATTAGGTTAGGAGGACCGGTGAGGAGGAAACAAAAAAGGAGATACCTGGAGGTTTCATAGGAAAAATTAACAAACATGGTATGTGAATGGAATATGAATGATCTATGAATGGGAGAAACGATGGTATATATGTGAATGGTGTGTTAATGAACTATTAATGGTATATTGATGATCAAACATGAATTTAGTGATGATTTAACTATATATAACAAACATGGTGATAGAATGGACATATCATGATACAGAATCATACGATATGATGGAATCATGATAGTATACCTATGACGAAATGGGATTCAATTGTAACAATTATACGAGGTTTAATGATTAATGGGGTATAAATGGGATATTAGTAGTATTATATTAATGGAGGATTCATGGGATACACCCCGGGGTAAACAGAAACACGCGATACGCTTAGAAGGTGAACCACACGTCAGCAACAGTATTCCGTTGGATCATTTTCCGAGGGAAACCATGGGTTTTGTGACTTTACAGGAGGCTCTGAATGGCAAGACAATTGTTTGTTTTTTGATTTGACCAATCAAAATTGGCATTTATGAGGTAGACCATTGATCAATTGGGAGTTGACCGGTTTTATGTGGATTTCACATATAAAACTTGAGATCCCAACATGAAAAAGCCACAAACCCGGGTTGTAATTTGGATGAGGATTCAAAACCATCAGCAATGTTCGGGTTCGGAAACTGCCTGGAACGAAAATCGACGATGAAAACAAAAAATATCCTCAAGATCGTAGGTGATTGGTGGTAGCGGATCTACAAAACCCGTGGTGACTCTTCTCCAAAGAATCATAAGGGCACCCCCCAAGGGTGATTAATCCAGGGTTGACATTAGGCTTCATCTTGTTCCAGGGACTTCAGTTCTGTATAGGATTTATTTTGCGATCGACAACCAAATATGCGGCTAGTCGCCGACCCAAAACTGCAGCAAAATCACGCATCTGCAACAAAAATCAGTGGACCTTCCTCATCTGAACCAAGGCTACACTATGTTGGGACACCAAAATCCAAAATCTGTCCTTTGCATTGCTTAATGCCGCGACCTGAGGAAACATCCAACCCACGGGGCAACATCCAAGCCCCTTCAGATGACTCTTAGTCCCCCGCGCGCATGTTGGCCACGGTGTCGAAACTCGCGGCGGAGTTCGGGCCGGCCACCAGGAACTGTGAGAAGACTTCAACAATCGACACGGCCACCAGCGAGAAGTCCTGAGACGGAGCTGCGGAGCCGTGGAGCCACCAGCAGAGAGCCTGGTGGAATCGAAGCATCGCAAAATCCCTGGGTTTTACTATGGTTTGACATAGGATTTCTTCCAGAATAGAGTCATTGAGTCTCATTGAGTCATTTAAAGTACTGAAGAATTGAAACGTGGATGCCCCAGTTGGCCAAATTGGTGCAAGATGAGCTCTTGGGTTTCTACAAGAGATGGCCAAGAAAGCAACTTAAATAACTGGAGAGCCAAGGTCTAGCCCCGTGGAACCGGAGTTTTTTGCTGCTATAGTTGGATGTGGGAGAACATGGAATATATATGAATATATCAGGTAATCCAACAGAGTTATAAAAATGAGGTACTACTGAACATGGTGATTCTACTGAACTATCTTAAATTGGGAGAAGTATAATTCACCCAACCAACTCCTGGTTTCAGGAACCATCCGAGCAAGAAACTTGCGTGAATTGGATCATATTGGATGTGGCTCAGGATGGAAACCAATAAGTATTCCTTGATTGGGAAATAAGGATGGACGGGCGGAAATATCCCTACCACATATTTGAATAAACCCAACATTTCATCTGGAAATTAGACCATCTGTCAAGATTGCCCGAGGCAGAACCAGCATTCCCCATGGTATATTATGGTAGATTCACATGGTAAAGACCGTATATTCTATTATCTTATCATGTATGTCAACAAGGTATTACCATATCATGTATGTTAACATGGTACATTATCATGGATGTTTGGTTGGTAAAAATCCCCCATGGTATATTAAACGCATACACACACAGGAAACTATAGTCTTTACATGATGGGGCCCCCAAGATAGCTAATTTGAGATACAAGTGGCTCAACTATATGGTTTATGGTAGATATAGCTATAGATAACATAGATAACTATAGTTTTCATGGTGTTTCTAAACCAACAAACATCACTGGGGGGTCCCATCCTGCACTCATCCAGTTGGCTTGTAAACACCATGAACACTGTTGTAACATGATGTTTTTCTGTATGGTTTTATCAACCACTATATGGTCAAAAACTGGCGTAAACCTACTCCTCCAACTACCCTCTGGTAATTTGTTACAGTTCGCTATTGAAAATGGCCCAGTCTAAATAGTTGATTTACCCATTTTTATCGCATGGTGGATCTTTCCATAGTAAATGGCCATAGAAATAGTGGATTTTCCCATGAAAAATGGTAGGTCCGGGTAGGTCCCATATAAAAACCCGCTTCACCGAACTCCGCTTCGAAGGCTCCAAGTAGTTCCAGGCCAAGTTGGGAGATGTGTAGAAATAAGCGCAGCCTTCCGCTGTAAACCTACCGTGGCGTTTGGGACCAGGCTGGTCAGTGGTGTTTCCAGGTGAACGAACATCCCGGCGCCTTGAAAGTATACCTGGTACATGTTATATATACTGTACTCACATCACTATATAAGTACTAAATATTTATAGATAGTTGTATCTAAACATATATATATATATATGTATATATATATATGTATATATAGATATATGTATGTATATATATATATGTATATAGATATATGTATGTATATATATATAATTATATATATATATAGTCGGCCGATCCATCTATGAGTGCTTCAACTAGGCACGGTTTGAGGAAACTCCCTGGAATAACGATGGGACCTGCGGCATGGACCGTCACCATAGCAATTCAAATGATGGCCACTAAAAATGGATGATTTTCCCATCGATTCCCAGCGAGAACAACCTCCAGTTTTAGGGGAATTTGTCTCATTGCCATCTTCGTTTGCCAGAGGTTTACATATAACTGAAACACTTGCTGAAGACAAAAAAGCAGTTTTTCAGAAAGTCTTTTGGGATCATCCCACGTCACAAAACCAGTGGAGTGAAGATCAGATCCCAAAGCTGCAGCCAAAAGTCATAGAAACTACAGGAAGTTGATGGAAGTTGATGGATACATCCCATGAAGTTTCACGCTTAGCTTGAGAAAATCTCGTTCGTAACGTGGTAAAACAACTGCTAAATCGGATGAAACAACCTATCAGATATATGTCCAAATGGTGGTTTCCTAAGTCATAGGGCTACCCCCTTACATCCAGTCGTCATGGATGACCATGACTTAGTATAGCTTAACAACCATGGTGACTTGGGCTATCCCCATTCTAGGAAACCTCCAAATATCCGAATTAAGCTCCAATGAAGTTGCACATATACCAATGAATTGTCCAATTGACTCCATCTAAAAATCCCAGCAGTTTTTTTTTGGCACCCCCAGCTAACCTCCAAAAAACCCATTGAACACGCACCAAAAATGGCTCAACTGTTCAAATAATTCTCCATCCCGACCTGATCATCATCTCGACCGCGAAAAAGAGGGCGAACCTGGGCCGATGGGATCCGATGGGTGCAAGGTGGGACCTCAAGAAAAACCATAGGAAAAATGGCGATGAACAGCAGAACACATGTTATTGAATGGGATTTAGAGCTGATTGATGATAGCTAAGTTCAAAACTAGGCATTTGTTTAGCAATGAACAACGGACAAAGGCTATAAACTAAGAAACACCTGGTTTTTTGTACAGATCAATGGGAATTTCAGGATCCTAAAATGGAGGTACGTTAGTACCATTTTTCAGGCCATATTTTGGGGGGATATTCCCGCAAACATAGGCCTAAAAAATAGGCCTTATATGGCTGGTAGGTACCTCCAATTTTGGTTCCTGGGTCATGGCCATTGGTCACAGATTGTCACAGATTCATAGGCCGTTTACTATGGAAGCCATGGTCCATTGAGTCCGCAAATGGCAAATGACCAAAAGGGTCACTTTGGGAAATTTCGTGGGTCACCGAAAAAACCCAGGATGTAAAGCTAGTTGGTGGTTGCTGCTAACCCCTCTGAAAAATGATGGACCGAATCGTCAGTTGGGATTTTCTGAAATTCCCAACTGAATGGAAAGTCATAAAATTCCATGGTTCCAAACTCCAAACCACCAACCAGTGTATCAACATTTGGATTCTGTACGTTCTTAGCGTTCATCAAGGATCTGAGATTTCTCCAAACATTGAAACATATTGAAACGGACGAAACTGGAGGTCCGTGCCCATTGCGGACTCCATCCTAAGATCCTGACTGTTCGGATAACCCCAGTGAACATCCAGGTCGCTACGTGGTTTTAACCGCAGCTGGGGTAGCCAACATATGGCTACTTGATTGGCAAAAATTGTGAAGATTTCTCAGGGACACAAAAATGGTCAGCACCATTTTGATTTGCTTCTTACGTACCAAAGGCTGGGAAATATGGAACAAGTGTTTAACAAAAATTGCTGGCCAAGAGCCCTTAGGAGTTGAAAGTTGAACATAAAAGTCACACGTTAAAAAGCATTGATAAATCCTTCAATCAACGCGTTTTTTCACAAGGTTTTCCGTGCATCATCATTAAAAAAAACATTGGAATCATCATAAGTGCACGGCCAATTGTCACAGTCCAGGGACCACCCACTTCTTGGCTTTGAGACTCCGCCAGGATTGCTGCTCAGTAATTGCGAAAAGGCAGCCTTTGTGTTATGGATGTGTCCATA